CATTTAAAATTTGCAGTCTATGCATAAATCATGCAGAAAGTTATTGAAATGTCACCTTTCAGAATGCATGTCTTGTAAATTTCAGTTCTGAAATGAAATGTGTTCTATTGAAAAACACTAGGAACTTCTGTTTCAACTTTATATATTAGTAATAAATAAAATTAAATATTCATTTATCTTATCCCTATTCTAAATTTCATACTAACATTTAATTTTATTTGTTAATATTAATGCACTATTTCTTAATATTGAGCACTTTAATTATAAAGACTGTTTATCTTAAGACATTATCTTCCAGAAATATCCTGGTTGACAGTTTTTTGGGGATTTTATTTTTTTTGAAAATACAATGTTTGCTTAAGTTTAGTCAAAAAGTTTTGGCTCATGAAGCAAAAATAAGATAAATCTTTCTTTTTCAACATTAACTTAACAACTGTTTACTTCCATCCATTATTTTCTGTCAACTTTCAAGCAACTTCTTAATTTTATCCTACCAGAACTACTTTAGATGCATTTTGTAGTTCCCTGAGGATTTAAATCTTTCATGAAGTGAATTCTCTAAAAGATCAGAATAAATGATAATCTGAAAGTACAATACTTGGTCACTAAATAAACATACTGTTTAGCATTATACCAATGGAATATCACTCCTTCCTTTCCTATTAACTAATTCTAGACACTTTTTGTTGATTGATATCTTCAATTTATCTGATTAAGAGCAGGACTAGTTGGAATCATTTTTTTGCTTCACTAGAAAGGCTCATCATTGGAGAGTCTCTTTCAACATTTCCATATATACAGTATCACCTTTAGTACATTTATTGATGGTTTATTTTGATTGTCTCACAATTTCTTGCTATCTATATTGTTGCAAATTATCTGATTTTCATTTACTGTCACAATTTGTTTGAAAATTGATCATTTTTATCATGTTTAAGTAATGATTCAGACAAATATATTCCAGTTGTAGCTTTTTCCCCCATTTAAATTATATAAAAGCCACATATGATTTTCAACAGTTGATATGGTTGAGTTTATGGTGATTTCACAAGTAACATTTTCATTGGGATCATTCTCAACTGGTCTAACAAACACTGGACCATTGTTTAATAAGAAATTTTCCTTGGGAATCTTTGTAAACCCCTTTCAACATGTTTGATCATTCACAGTACCTTCTTCATAAACTACACAATTTTTTTTCATCTTTAAAAAAGTGTAATATGTTAGAATCAATAAACAAATATGCATCAATTTTGACAAATACATTTTTAAAAGTTTTACACTAATAATATCTGTCACAATGCAACAGAAAGTGATTGTTAAAAGTGAACATTCCTAATGCCACTTAATGACAAACAAAAGGAAGGTTTTGGCTAAAGCAATACTATCAAGATTAGTATGATGGATTATTTTTGTTGAAATACTTTTCTAGAAAATGTTATAATACAATCAATGAAAGTGAAAATTACAGCCTGAAGAAGAAAAAAAGTGTTTCAGATAGAATTAAAGTAATTCAAAAAATCATTTCATATAATCAATATTTAATGAACAAAATTCCACTACAGAATCTTGTTTGTCAAATATTGATTATCCAAAAATATGTTTCTAAGAGTTTCTTAGATTTTCTTGTTTTCAAATTGTCAAATAGACAAAGTTTGTACAATTTCATATGGAAGCAAAGTGATATTTGGAGAATTTATTTCAATATTTTGAATGACTACAATATAATTTGAATAAAGTCTGGTTCAGAATTCACAGGAGTTAATAGTTTCCATCTAAAAAATAATTTTTTTCTCAGAAGAAAAAAAATCTCAATTTATTCTCAAATAAAAAAAAAACAGATTGGTTACATCTTATTTTTGATTCTTCAAACAGCATCAGTGAGCAATATATATTATTATCATCTTTTATTTTTAATCAAAAAGTTGCTACAGCTGTCAAGATCAATCAGATTATGATTTTTCTGACAAAACATATTAGGAAATTAGTTTAGTTTAATGTTATAAATTTGCTTGTTTTTTTTAAAAAACAAAAACATAATTAGTAAAAGTATAAATGGTTAATCACTGTTACTGTTTAAAATCTTTCAAAAATATCAAATTACCAGATTTTCCCAGTTCTAGTTCTGCTTCTACATGCAAACACAATTAGTAAGTTTGCTGAGCAATTTTTCAAAAGGAAAACATATTTTTATTCAAAAAATTAAAGATAAAAATCACCCACAATTGATTATAAAATTAGTAATGATATAATCAAAATAAGTTATTTGTACATTTGGAAAATGTCAGAAATAACATTCTCAAATTTATGACATTTATAATTTATTTAAATACACACAAATAAAAAATCTTAAATGGAATCATTTATTTTCCAAAAAGTACAAAATTTGTTTAAATACTATCAACATCTTGAATAATTATGATGATGATAATGATTAATAAAAAATAGTTTTAGTCAAATGCTGAATTTTGTGAGTATGGGATTATCCTCCTTTTTGCATAATATAATTTCCCACATAGATGATGGCAGAGAATTTTTAATATAATTAAGTGCATGTTTTTCATTTCTTTTTCTTTTCATTGACTATAAACAATAAGAAAAGCTATTCAAATATATTATTCTTAAATACATAATACTTTAATTTCATTCAATACTGGTTAATCATTACTGTATAATAAATATTAATGCAAACATTAATGAAGGAGAAAAAATCATTTTACAGAAACAAAAAATATGGAAGAGAAAAGAAAAACGAAATGGATATTGATGAGGAAATTAGCAGCTGCAACAAAAACAAAAAATTACAAGATGCCATTCACTTCACAATGTGTGTCTATTGTTAAAAACTTCCAAAATAAGAGATACCTTTAAACCCAGAGCTTTACACTTGAGATACTAAATTGGAAATGGTTAGTGGCAAACTATAGAAGACAGATAAATCCTGTTAAGAAGCATATAAAATTAAAGGCATTCATTAAAATCAAGTAGAATTGAATTTTACAAATGGAATAAGCAATGCAAAAAAATCCAGTTTAACTCAACACTTTAAAGTAGAGAGCAGGGTTATATGACTTGAAATTGACTGAAAGATGTTCATGTTATAATTCTGATTCTGAAAACAATGTTTTTATAAAATATTGTGCAATGCTTCTATTTTAAAATAACTTTACATAGAGAAGTGTTTAATACAGTTTAAAACATTTTTTAATCTGAAGTTTTGTAATACATTATTTATAAAAAGAGATTATTATATAAAATTTTATTGCAGTTTTTGAAACTTTTATCCCTTTTTATTAAACTAACATAGTACTAACATGATTAGTATACATTTTATTATCAACTTAAGTTATGTGCCATGCGTGGTATATGCTTAGGCGATCATGTATCTTTCAATACGTAACTGACAAGGCAGATTTTTTCCTGCAGTAGGTTGCTATTTCTTTCTGCAGTAGACCATTTGCCATCCAAGGCTATAGAACCTGGTCTTCCCAAGGGTATTAACACATAAGTGAATGTAATGGATTCAACTGGAGTTTGAACTCAGCTCTCTGATTCCTCAATCCAAGCCACTATCCAATACTCCACCGTGCCTCTTTATATCCTACATCACAGTAATTCAGAAATCTTATGCATGTATGATCTGAATGGTTGTTAAATATCGCATAAATAAATTTTAGTAGCCAAGAATAGGCTAAGAACAACAATCAAAAATCTTCCGTTGTCTATTTGCTATAAGGAGTATATTTGAAAAGATTCATAGGAACATCAGGATGGTATTCAAAAACAGTTAAACCCCCTTGAAGGTCTTGCTTCTGAACCAATCACCTATTGGCAAAGTACATGACCAAAGAACTTTGTGTATTCCATCCTATACAGTGGTGGCAAAGAATATAAGGGTAAGAGCTGCAACTTAAAAAGTAAGAATAGAGGAACAGTGAAAATAGTTATCAACCCTTGTGGAATAAAGTCAAGATAACAGAACAACACATAAGATGACAAAAATCATTACATGTATTAAGCTCTGACAACATCATACTTATTATAAAACCCAGGTTGTGTGTGTGTACGTTTATATATTGGATCGGATTTCCTACATTTTTCAACCGTTTTCAACAAAACTTCACAGGACTACGTAAAATTACCTTGTGGTGGTTCTGACAGTGCCAAAAATCGGAAAAACATAATTGTTTTTGCACAAAATCAATTTGAAAACACAATTAAGAGGCATCGCCAGAATGAAAGGGGAACAACTCATATTGAGTTATACTTATTATAAAATCATGTACTTTGATTCAATGGAAGATATGGAAAAGTAGTACAAAGGTGAATAGGCAAAAGAAAATTAAATGATACAAACTATCCCTTATGTATGGAAAGTAGAATGAATAAAGGGTTCAAATGATTGAAGATTCCAAATAGATCACCAAGTATGACAGAAACCTGAAGAAGGCCCCAGTGTAATAACTTTTTAGGTATTACACACAGGCCTTTAGAACAAAAATTAAACAGGAAGGAATGTTAACTAAAGGTCATGCTATTAGGATAACAACCAAAATGATCATAGTAGTTTGAATAGAAAAGTATTCTTATTAAAAAGTAATAAATACAATTTGAATTTTAAAAAAATTATATTTATGTTTTAAAAGGCAGAAGATAATTTCTTTCTGTATATTAATTTATTGATCTTAAAACTACTGGAAAATATGTAATCAAATTTTTCATGTACTGTAAAAAAAAAAAGTAACCAGTTCCATCCCTAAAATTATACTTAGTCTGAACAATTTAATTAACATGCCAAATAATACTGGATAATTTTGCATGAAAGGAAGTCTTAGTAATACAAAGAAAAAGATATAAACATAGCAGCATTTTTTTTTATTATTAGAGAACTTTAGAACAAAAATTCAACAGGAAGGATTGTTAACTAAAGGTCATGCTCTAACTCAAAAATAAGAAATGGAAAGAATTTCAAATAGAATAGATAAAAGAGATTTACTTACCTGCTGGAGAGGCAGGGGCTGAGGAGTTTGTATTTGATATGGAACTGGGAGAAGCAGAGGAATCGTCTTTGACATTTTCCAAAGCTTTTTCCTTCTGGAATAAAAAAAATAATAAAAGAACATGTTCAGAAAGGTACTCCCACTGAGAGATTCAGTAAAATAAAAGATTGATTATTTTATTCATTATATTTTTTATTTAGAAATAATTATGCAATCATATCAAAGCATGATTGGATAATTGATGTATTAAAAGCACAAATTTCATCTGTTAAATAGTTTTTTGGAGCTGAAATTTTAAATTTGTTATCTAAATCCCAATGAGTTATACATTTTCACAAACCTCTTCTGCATTTGGTTTCTGCTAGGAAAAGCCACACAATAAAATTTGTACTTTTACATAAAATGATATAAATATACTCCCATTTTGATGACATTAAAACATGTATATGTCAAGTTTGTAAAATATTGATGCTGATGTATTACATAAAGGAACCACAAGAAATGTTTGGTAAACAAATCACACTTTGCTTTCTCTTTTGACAGAGAGAAAATATTGTTAAACTGAAACTATTGGACAGCATTTAAGCAAGCTCCTGTGGAGAGTTCTTGATTGATCCTTCATCACAATAGATAGGGAAGAGTAGATGTGATAGGCAACAATAAACTACAGAAGAACTCAAAATTGATTGCTGCATTGTATTGCATTAATATTTAAGCTTACCTTTTAAAAGATCAATGATAATTCTTCTACTGCCACTTAATTTAAAGACAATTTGTTGTATGTAGGTCCTTACTTTTCTTACAAACAATTATTTTTATTTTGTAGGTGACTTTCATGTGATTTCACAATAAATTTCAATTATTTCCAAGTTATAAAAACTGTTAGCATACAAAAAAAAAAATCACGTAAAAAAAAATTATCACTGAAAACAATCCCAGTAATGTAAACTTAGGAATCCAAAAACAAGCCATGTCCACAACAATTTTTTAATTAAAAAAAAAAAAAAAAAAGAAAATTAACTCATTTTTCATTGCAAAAACGTTTCTTGGAATTCAAAACTGTGTGCCATCATCAAAACCTGAAAATATATTCGTTTTGTGCATGTTTGTTTCATTTTCAACCAAAACACGACATCTATTGTGCCAAAATGTTGAAATGTGGGAGACTTGTTGAACTATCAAAAGAGGCTAAAAAGTGCAAAACTTTGGAAGCCATTTTCAAACAATTTTTCTCCCTTTTTTTATGAACTTTAAAACTTTACATTTAGGTTAGCCAATTTTCTGTGATCTTTGAATAATTGTAAATCTTAAACAGAATCTGTTTTTTTCAGAATAAATAAAGAATTACTTGATTTTTTTTTTAATAATTCAAAATTTAAGTGTCTCAGTTATTTTTCTATTGAATTATAATACTCTTTGAACTTGTTTTCTTTGTGCGAAATGAAAAAAATTAAGAACAAAAAATGTTACGTTTTTCTTAGCAAGATGGCCGTGACGATTTTTCAAGTAACAATTTAACTAGAGCCCTATGCAGATATATTTTCAAAGAAAAGAGGTAGATGAGATAAATTTTCAACAAATTCATTTCACAAATTTCAACAAAGTATATTTCAATCTTGGAACATTTATGTCTACCAGAAATGAACATCATATGTAAGTGTATACTCTCTATCTCAAACACACACACTACATAGTAATGTATATAAATAAATGCAAATGTCAGTGTGTCACACCTTTTCAACTTTACTCCTAAATGCTGTAGTCCAACATATCATAGCATTTTGGATTCAGGCCAACTCCATGAGAAAATTAAAAACATTCCAGGCCGGATCCAGACCAACAATCCTGAAATTTTGGATTCCCAAGTTTTCATTACTGCAATTGTTTTTGGTAATTTTTTTTTTATGTGATTTTTTTGTATGATAACAATTTTTATAACTTGGGAATAATTGAATCCAGTGAAAGTCACCCATGAAATAAAAGTAATTGTTTGTATGAAAAGTAAGGACCTATGTACATCAAATTGTCTTTAAATTAAAATGTCGGCAGAAGAATCATCGTTGAACTTTTAAAAGATAAGCTTACATATTAATGCAATACTTAAATACAGCAATCAATTTTAAGTTCTTCTGTAGTTTATTGTTGCCTATCACATATGGTAGCAGTATGTCTTGCAAAAAGAATCTCCAACAACAAAGGATCAGATTGCAATCAAAATAGCTAAGGCATGGGACTTTCTTTTCCTTGCTAAGAGCGAGGAAAAGAAAGAACTTCCAATGCTGAGGATATGCAAAGACTTAGGGAATCTCAAACTCCTGAACAAGCCGAAGGTCCAATCAAGAGCCCTCCACAGGAACTAGCTTGAATGCCGCCCAATAAGGCATCTTTTAAGCTAGTAATTAATACATTTTATTTTATTAGACTGGTTCCCTCAGAAAGGAAAGAAATCTACATTGATTCTGACAAATTTCTTGGGTTGAGGAATTTCTTCTGAATGTTAGGCAACAAAAATTAATTGTGAAAATATTTTTATCTATAAGAAATTATTAATTAATATTCCAGAAAGTCAACACCCTCACAAAATGCAAAATAAAGTTAAGATTTCTACATTGAAGTCATGGAATATGTCTTGACTGAGTTGGGTCAGTGAAGATGATGTTGATTCAGTGTTTTGCACTATTTGCAGAAAGATACAAGCTAAACTAAGTCCAAAGCTACTTTACCAAAGGTGTTGATGCTTTTATTAAAGGAACTTCTAATGCGAAAAAAGACACAGCAATGACACAGGAAAACTAATTTTCATGTAAATAATGCAGAGACATCAGAAGTTAACATTCAGAAGTCATTAAAGAAATTGAGTCAGGCTGGGTTACATAGACTCCAAAAACTATTTGACTAGGCATATACAGTGGCCAAGAAAAAGCTACTATTTTTTTGTTTTTCAAGCACTTGTCCAAACAGAGATAAAGCATGGCAGTGACATGGGAAAAGTCTATATTACTAGACATTACTGTGAATTTTTCCATGTAATTGGAGAAACCATCAAAGACAACATAAAAAACAACATTCAAAAAAGTATTTTATTGCAGCATTTTATTCAATGGAAGTACTGACAAAACTCTAAAGGAGAGACAAATTATCTCGATAAAATTTCTTAAAAACAATAAATGTGAAACTAAATTTCTAGCTTTGTGTGAGCCATCTTCTAGTCAAGCCAAAGACATGAAACAGACTATAGAAAAGCTGAAGGAGTATGATATAAAATTAGATGTGTGTGAGTTTTGCAGCAGATGGCGCTGCAGTAAATTTTGGCATTAAAGAGGGCATGATAACTATTTTCAAAAAGGATATGCCATGGCTGATAAATATTAATTGCTTTGCTCATAGACTTACAGTGAAAGAGTCTGTCTCTGGATCTTACTTTTCAAAAACAATTGATGATTTACTTATTCAATTTGTTTAAGAAATCCCCAGAGAAATGGGATGAGCTCAGAAAAATTGTGGATGTAATAGTGGATAGAATTATTAAACTGTCCATGGATCATGTCATCAGATAGACAAGCCATCAGAGCACTACAGTGAGATCTGCAATCCTATCCCTTTTTCAGGAATGGGTCAACGGAAAAAGAGCTGACATTAGCAGATGTTACAAATATGGTAGCCTATGAAAAAAAAGATGTCAACTGACACCTTTCACCTTCGTCTTGCAGTGCATGAGGATATCATTGTTGAGCTGTCAGACATTTCTCTGCACCTGCAGACAGATGGTACCAGCCTGAGTCACAATATAAACATGATTCTGACTAGAAAAGACAGCATTAAGTCATTGCAAACATCTCCAGGTCCAGCTTTAAATAGTTTGCTGGATGGACAGTTCAAATGCAAATGTGAGGAGGAATGCAAGTGCAGTAAGAAACATGAAGCAAGTGTGAATGATGTTGTACAAAAGATGGAGTTCTTCAGAAAGAGATTTCAAACATTAGGAAATACCTCCGTTTTGAAGTTTAAAAAAAAAAAAAATGTCTTTCTTCAAGCAAACAAATATCCAAACCTTTGCCATTTGGCATGCATCAGTGGAATTTTGCCTTCTTTCACATTTCATATTGAAAAGCAATTTTCCACCTTGAAACACATTCTTGGTGATTGGAGACTTAGATTATCCCCTAAGATGTTAGACATTCTAATGATCATTTGTTCAAATGGACCTGAGAGGGCTGACTTTAAACCTGAAGTAGCCATTGATAAGTGGCAAGAGATGTGTGACACCAACAGAAGGCCTGACACCTCAGAACTGCAGTTTTGTTGATTCTCTTGATTTCTTTTAGATGTTACAATCCCTTCCTTTATTTTTTGATCCCTTCCTTCACCTTATTTATTTGATCCCATTTTTCACTTTAAAAAAATCTTTTACATCTCTAATTTTTTTTTTAATTGAAAATGTAAGTGGGATTAAAAAAATGAGACATTTTTTAAGTATTTTTCCTTTGAATGTCTATAGCCATAGTCTACAATTTACTTAATACCCAATTTTTACTTTCAAGTACTTTAATTTTAACTTTTTTGTGTAAATATAGTGCACTATCTTTGGTCTTTTTCCTCTTTTTTAATTTTTTTTTCATTCTCTTCGATAGCAAAAAATTCATGTTCAATTTAATTTCATCCTTTTTAAAGTTCATACTGTTTGTATTTTAATACATTCTTGAAAGTAATTATTCTGTTCTCTAGTTTTCATTTTTGATGACTGGTATTATGTAAATATGTTTGATAAATATTCTATGTTCAAAATTATTCAGTTTTGACAACTGGTATAATGTGGACAGCTTTTTGCATTGAATTACATTCCTTTAGATGAGTATATTTCATTTAAACTGATTATCATTTGTGATAATTGTTGAAACAGGTGTATTTGCAACTATTTTTTTCTCACTCAAAAAAATTAATTTTTATTTTAATACATATATTTATTTTTAAACTTTCCATTTTCCTTCATTTTTAACTAGAACATACTTAAAGATATTAAAATTCAATTTTGATGTAGTTACATGTACAATATTTGATTTTTCACATTATTGAAATGGCTGAAGAACCATTCACATTTTTTTCATTATTTCAATGTTGACCTTTAATGATACTATGACTTTTTCCAACACGTGCTAATTTTTTGTTTCAATAGTTATTTTGATTTTATGCTGAAAAAGCTTTATATTTTTAGACAGTAATACAACAGTCTTATTCTTTCCACAACATATTCTATGCTAATAATGTTTCACTGCAATGTATCATTGCTAATAATTCTCATCATATTATTTAATCATGTTATTTGTCAATAAAAATATTTGATTTTAAAGCTTTGTTTATTTTTATCAATTTTTTTTTTTTTGAAGATTCTAAGTTAATATTATTTTTTACAAATAAAAAACAAATTTTGCAAATTGCTGTGGTACCCTTAGTCATTGCTGCAGTGCCCTCATTTTTAAAGTGTCCACCAAGTCAATTTATTGCCTGTCCCTATCTTAGACTAAAATTCATCTTTGCATACTCGTTTCTCTACTGGCTCAAAATTTAAGATTGACCCATAAAAGGCAAGCTTATAATTAAGGATATATAATACCATTCTAAAATCTTTAAAAATCCATGTTTTGTAATGTATCTAACCCCAACAATATTGAATAACAAGTTGTATAAACTGTTAAAAAATGCCTTAAAAACTGAATAAAGCTCAAAAAATATATTGCTGCCATAATATAAAAATTTCCATCTTTGAGAAATAAATGTAATGTATTTCTCTGCAAATAACATTGTAAACTTTTGAGGAGGACAAAATGGAAACTAATAGTAAATCTAAAATGTACATCAATATAATAAACTGGTCTACTTTTTATTTAATGTTGTACCAAAAAGTAAGCAAACTCCAAATGGAGTTTGCTTTAGAGATCACAAACCTTTTTTGTCTTCCGTCTTCTCATCTTCTCTCCTTCAGACATATGAAACTCTTTGGCTTTTGTGAATCTCTTCAACTGATGGATCTTAAAGATAAACATTTAAAAATTAATAAAAAATCTCACATCAAAGAGAAATTAACAAACATGTAGTTTACATAAATTATTTATGAGTACATTCCCTACTGTTTCTACAAAAGCACTTAACAGACTTATTTTACTTATCAGTCGTTTTCTCTTTATTTAAACAAAATTAAAACTTCAACAATTGACAAAACAAAACATTTACATCAAATTGTACTAAAAAATAAAATATGAATTTACAGATATTTTTTAAAATCAAACAGTTGATGAAATATTGTCAAAATGTTAGTTAAATATTATTTTGCATTAATTTTAAATATAAATCATATTTTTATTATACTTTTGTAGAGATTATAATAGGGTTTTCAAGATTCAAATTTTATTTCAATCATATATCTGATCCACAATAAACAAGTATATCAATAAAAATTTGGAAAAATTTAAAGTTGAGTCCCACCATCAATTCACCTCAACTAAATTAACTGGGCTTACCTAATTTTTATCTCTACTAATTTAAATACATAAATCTTTATGGCTGCTTCAAGTTATTTGAATATAACCAAGTTGTCTTTTTCCCAAACAGATAGAAAATAGATAAATGCAGTGTTTGGTTACCAATACTGACCATTTTCTGTTCTTCTTTAAGTTGAATTTCCATTGAATCTTTAGCTAAGCGAATTGCTTCTTTCAATTTGCTTGGAATTTTTAAGATTGGTTTCTCAAGCAATTGTAATGTGTAACTGGAGAAGAATCTGTAGAAATAAAAATGGCCATGAAAATAGAAAGAAAAAGTTAAAGGAAAACAGGATAGAGATTGTCTTCGTTTTGCATAAACAAGACATAAGCCAGAGGACAAGTTGGCAGATGAGTAAAGCCAGAGGACATATTAGCAAATGAGTAAAGCCACAGGACAACTCAGTATCTTTCTTTGTTGCACAGTGTTATAATGCTATAATGCCAACCTGAAGTGTTTAGCAAAAGTTTCATGACTTTAAAGATTGATCATTGGAAAATATAGTATTGTTAATTATTTACAGTATACATACACTTCTCTAGCATTATTATACATCTCAATTTGAAGAGTCTATCCCAGTGTCCTACCAAAAATATTAAACTATCAGTATTCATTTTTTTTGTGTCAGCCCTGAAGCTGAACTTATTAATGCACATTGTAAATTTTGGTATTCATTATAGGTTTATAAAAATAAATCCAGTGTAAGTTATAGGTTAAAAAAAACTGGTATTTTTGGAATGGTGGGCAGTAATGGGGTCATGAAAACATTTTATTAACCAAGAACCTAGAAGCTATAATACAAAAAAAAAATAAAAACTGTTTCAAATTGAGATTTGGAAATTATAGTTAACCTATACCTGTTTATTTTTAGAATAGTAATTTTCATGTTAATTTGATGTTTCTATATTGTGGTGCAATGCTAAATTAAGTTACCTGAATAAATATCTACACTCACATATTTTGATATCACTGATGGAAAAAGTAAAAAAGTTATCTTACGTATGACTCAGCAAATCTGATAATGTAGGAAGTCCATTTTTACATGCCTCTGTTGTCAGTATAGATTCCAGCACAGAACCTGGAAATAAGAAAAGTAGTTTCTCTACATAATATAAGAAAAAACATTCTAATAAAATCTATAGAAATTACATAGTGCATTTACAACTTAACAATAAAACAAGTTGTTATATTTTTTGATATAGAAAAAAAAAAGCAGCATTATCCTTAAGTTCATTAACAAATTTTTTGTGTAAAAATATTTCTATTCTGTCTCCTTTACATGTTCAATTATTTCTTTATTTAATTCTGACATTTTGAACCCCCACAAAAAAAAAAAAAATATTGGTGAAAACAATCATAACTGAATCTTATTGAAATTTTGGTTTAGGTTTTATTTTACATGCCTGTTGTGTGCCTAAACATTGTCAGCATTATTTTTTTTTGAAATGCATAAACCCACTGATGATGGACAATGATTATACAACCAAAAGCAATGGAGTAGCTTGATTTATTTCTCAATAAAATATGTGATGACTATTAAAAATAGGAATGTCTTTTTTTTCTTTTCTTTTTTTTAAACTACCTTGGTCACACGACACTTTCCTCACTTTCCTATCATTTGAATGTACCAATTATAAATAGATGATTAATAATCAATTAATAAACTTATAACAATTCAACTTCACTCAGTACTTACGTAGTTCTGCAGGACAACTTGCAGGGAAAGAATCACAGGTAGCTTTTGCTAATTGTTCACCAAATGTCATTTCATATAGTACATGTCCAAATGAAAATACATCAATCAACTCCATTTTCTAAATAAAGAAAAAGTAACTGACAATTAATTAGAAACAAACATACATACATATATATTGTATACATATATATTGTATACTAGCAGTAGAGCCCGGTGTTGCCCGGGGATGTAACAGTAAGAGATAGATCAAGTATCGACCATCATAAAGACTGAAAAATAAAATTGACAAAGATTATTGTTTAAGGTTGACGGACACGCATGTCTTAATTAGTTTTTTTACGAATTGGTTAAACCCAAATTCAAACAAAAACATTGTTTACAATCGTTATGAGTTTATCGATTGAATAGAATTTTATTATAAACAATTGTCTTGTAAATGGAATTTTTAAAGCATTCTGAATGTAAATAAAGAAAAAGTGTGCAAGACAATAAGAAATACTACCTGCCGAAAAAAAAAAGTGGATGTTTGTTTTATCGGCTGAAAAATGTAAAAATCCGATCCCATATATAAAGGAACACACACACATAAACAACCTGGGTTTTTAACCTAAGTCCTCCAGGAATCGCTAAAACATAGAGCATAGTCTGAAGAAAAAAATACGCTTAAAGTTTATGAAAAACAAAATTTTATCATCAAAATGCTTATTTTTTTATGAAGAGGATAGACTAAATTTTTTTAAATTATTTTTTAAAAAATTTTTCCATCTTTTTAGAATATTCTAAATTTTTTGATTTAAAAACCTTGTTTCTCTTTTTGTCGCAACAAGGGGTAGTAAATAACAGATAATTTTAGCACATTTTTTTGTATTTACACATTAATTTGGAAAATCTTGCAAAAATAAAAATAATTGTCAGATGTTAATGAAACTTTCAGAAACTATTCACAGATGATCGAAATTATTATAAATATTTTTTTTTTATTAAAGTCATGGCAGAAATATTTTTTTTATATTTATTAACACCCCATAACTAATTTTATGAAAAACTCTAGAAATTTGAGACCATCGGTTTTAGTGATTACAATAGTTAAAAGCACAAGGCTTTTTTAAGAATGCAAATCATGTTTTTTTTGTTTTTTGTTTTTTTGGCCAACCCTGAAAATCAGCTGTGAATTGTAACATACAAAAACTCAATAAAACAAATATATTATTTTAGTTTCAAATGCTTTTATTTGTTTTAATTTGTTTTATGAATATGGACAATATTTTCTGAAAGCAAAAATTTTTTTCAATGAAAATTGAATTTTTAATACAATTATTTCTTATTTCTTTAATTTTAAAAAAGATTTTTTAAAAATGTTTAAATTGAATTTTAAAAAATATTTTAACATTAGTTAAAAAGCAACATCAACCTTTCAAAATGTCCGTGTGAGATTGTCATTGTCTAGCCTTTGAAAATTGTATAATTTGGACCAATCAGATTAGCCATGGTAATTAAAAATGTAATTTTGTGTTTATAATCAGACAGTAATTATCACGTATGGAAGACCAACCAGAATACAATTTAGTTTGCATTATTTGAGTTCAGCATTGTTCTCCGCTATTAAGCCCTTTTTACTTTTTGAAACACGTATGGAGAAGTTAATTTGAGTTTTCAATTTCAACTGAGAAGGGTACCTACAAGTAACAGTATCATCTTATGAAATTTAACTACTGCTAAACTTTAATTTATATGATCTTATTTTATATTAATCTCAGTTATGACATTTTCCATAAATGAAATATCAAAATTAATAATAAAATGAATGGAAATACAAATAACACAGTAAAATGTAATAAATGTACATAAAATTATAGTATTTTATGTACACTTCTGATAAAATTTCATAAGAAAGGTACCTAAATTAATTAGATACCTTTTTTCTTATGAAATTTAATCTCACTATTAACAGTCTTATTTTTTAATTTCTTTATATTTTCCATAAAGCATCGTAAACGTAAAAATGAAAGCTAAGTACAAAAAAAAATTTTTTTTCAAAATAAGAAGTTAGAGCGCTGAAAGTTTTCCTTAAAAGTAACAAGGTAAATAATTTGTTCTTAAATAATTTCACTTCCTTCCATCCGTAGAAAGAATTCTCCTCCGTAAGTTATCTAAACGTCATGAATTGCCTTTTTCACCAATTTTTCAAGTGACACGAAGATTATGACCTGCTTTGTTTTATTTTCAAATTACATTTTTTAGTCAAGAAGAAAGTTAAATTTTTGGTTCAAAATATTTTAAATAAACAGTATAATATCTGTTTTTTATTAAAATCAGTTTTGAAAAAAATGATAATTGACTTTTAAAAATGATTGAAAAATGATTATCTGCCTTTTTTTGACCAAAAAAAAAAAAAAAAAACAATATTTTAACGAAAATTTCAGACGTGCTAGGAACGATTTAAAAATTTAAAAAAATATACCCCAAAATACTTTGATCTTTCCTCTTTAATAATAATATGAACATTAGGACGATAAAATTTTGTTTTCGTCAAGTTTGGTCTTTTTTCATCATGCTATGCTCTTTTGTTTACATTTTCGTGGGTGAGTTCTCCCCCTTTCATTCTCACGATGTGTCTTAATCATGTTTTCAAATTGATTTTATTAAAAAACAACTGTATTTTTCCCCATTTTCGGCCCGTTAGAACCACCACAAGGTAATTTTATGTAGTCCTGTGAAGTTTTGTTGAAATCGGCTAAAAATGTAGGAAATTCGATCCAACATATAAACGTTACAGACACACACACACAACCTGTGTTTTATAATAAGTAAGATACTTGTGTATAAGCCAACTTCATGTATAGTCCGACCACTGAATTTTTTTTTTTTGAATTTTAACTCCTTCAAAAACATTTATCTGTTTATGTATAGTGTAATAGCTTACTGAAAATGCAAAAACTCTTCAAAAAAAATTACCTGTATATAGTGCAACCCAAACTTCATAAAAACTCTCACTATACAGCATATATAAATGTTGAATGACTCTTCTCAAATGCTGCAATTTTGGACAGTCATTTTTAGTGAGGAAAAAATTTACAAAGATTATGACTGTATTCAAACATTACCTCAACAATTTTTTACCTGAATCTTCTTAAACTGTGTGAAAAAAGGTTTATAATAGGAAGGAAGTCAGTTCTCCAAGTCAATTTTTTAAAAAAATTGTTTAAAATCATTTTAAAACAGTAATGCCACAAAATAAAGAAAAAGTGGATAGAAGACAATAAGAAATACTACCTGCCGAAAAAAAAAGTGGATGTTTGTTTTATCGGCTGAAAAATGTAAGAAATCCGATCCCATATATAAAGGAACACACACACACAAAACAACCTGGGTTTTTAACCTAAGTCACTCCAGGGAATCGCTAAAACATAGAGCATAGTCTGAAGAAAAGGACGCCAAAAGTTTATGAAAACAAAATTTTATCATCAAAATGCTTATTTTTTATGAAGAGGATAGACTAAATTTTTTTAAATTATTTTTAAAAAATTTTCCATCTTTTTAGAATATTCTAAATTTTGATTTAAAAAACCTTGTTTCTCTTTATCGCAACAAGGGGTAGTAAATAACAGATAATTTTTAGCACATTTTTTGTATTTACACATTAATTTGGAAAATCTTGCAAAAATAAAATAATTGTCAGATGTTAATGAAACTTTCAGAAACTATTCTACAGATGATCAAAATTATTATAAATATTTTTTTTTTTTATTAAAGTCATGGCAGAAATATTTTTTTTTTATATTTATTAACACCCATAACTAATTTTATGAAAAACTCTAGAAATTTGAGACCATCGGTTTTAGTGATTACAATAGTTAAAAAGCACAAGGCTTTGAAGAATGCAAATCATGTTTTTTTTTTTTTTTTTTTTTTTTGTGTACCTGAAAATCAGCTGTGAATTGTAACATACAAAACTCAATAAAACAAATATATTATTTAGTTTCAAATGCTTTTATTTGTTTTAAATTTGTTTTTATGAATATGGACAATATTTTCTGAAAGCAAAAATTTTTTCAATGAAAATTGAATTTTAATACAATTATTTCTTATTTCTTTAATTTTAAAAAGATTTTTAAAAATGTTTAAATTGAATTTTAAAAATATTTTAACATTAGTTAAAAGCAACATCAACCTTTCAAAATGTCCGTGTGAGATTGTCATTGTCTAGCGCTTTGAAAATTGTATAATTTGGACCAATCAGATTAGCCATGGTAATTAAGAAATGTAATTTTGTGTTTATAATCAGACAGTAATTATCACGTATGGAAGACCAACCAGAATACAATTTAGTTGCATTATTTGAGTTCAGCATTGTTCTCCGCTGTTAAGCCCTTTACTTTTGCGAAACACGTATGGAGAAGTTAATTTGAGTTTTCAATTTCAACTGAAAGGGTACCTACAAGTAACAGTATCATCTTATGAAATTTAACTACTGCTAAACTTTAATTTATATGATCTTATTTTTATATTAATCTCAGTTATGACATTTTTTCCATAAATGAAATATCAAAATTAATAATAAAATGAATGGAAATACAAATAACACAGTAAAATGTAATAAATGTACATAAAATTATAGTATTTTATGTACTTCTGATAAAATTTCATAAGAAAGGTACCTAAATTAATTAGATACCTTTTTTTGTGAAATTTAATCTCACTATTAACAGTCTTATTTTTTAATTTCTTTATATTTTCCATAAAGCATAAATAAACGTAAAAATGAAAGCTAAGTACAAAAAAAAAAATAAAATAAGAAGTTAGAGCGCTGAAAAGTTTTTCCTTAAAAAGTAACAAGGTAAATAATTTGTTCACTTAAATAATTTCACTTCCTTCCATCCGTGAAAGAATTCTCCTCCGTAAGTTATCTAAACGTCATGAATGTGCCTTTTAATCAATCGTCAAGTGACACGAAAGATTATGACCTGCTTTGTTTTATTTTCAAATTACATTTTTTCGGCAGAAGATAAGTTAAGCTTGGTTCAAAATATTTTAAATAAACAGTATAATATCTGTTTTTATTAAAATCAGTTTTGAAAAAATGATAATTGACTTTTAAAAATGATTGAAAATGATTATCTGCCCTTTTTTTTGACCAAAAAAAAAAAAAAAATACAATATTTTTAACGAAAATTTCAGACGTGCTAGGAACGATTAAAAAATTTAAAAAATATACCCCCAAAATACTTTGATCTTTCCTCTTTAATAATAATATGAACATTAGACGATAAAATTTTGTTTTTTCGTCAAGTTTGGCATCTTTTCATCATGCTATGCTCTTTTTGTTTACATTTTCGTGGGTGAGTTCTCCCCCTTTCATTCTCACGATGTGTCTTAATCATGTTTTCAAATTGATTTTATTAAAAAACAACTGTATTTTTCCCCATTTTCGGCCCCGTTAGAACCACCACAAGGTAATTTTATGTAGTCCTGTGAAGTTTTGTTGAAATCGGCTAAAAAATGTAGGAAATTCGATCCAACATATAAACGTTACAGACACACACACACAACCTGTGTTTTATAATAAGTAAGATACTTGTGTATAAGCCAACTTCATGTATAGTGCGACCACTGAATTTTTTTTTTGCTTGAATTTTAACTCCTTCAGAAAACATTTATCTGTTTATGTATAGTGTAATAGCTTACTGAAAATGCAGGCGTTTTAAACTCTTCAAAAAAAATTACCTGTATATAGTGCAACCCAAACTGATCATAAAAACTCTCACTATACAGCATATATAAATGTTGAATGACTCTTCTCAAATGCTGCAATTTTGGACAGTCATTTTTAGTGAGGAAAGATTTACATAAGATTATGACTGTATTCAAACATTACCTCAACAATTTTTTACCTGAATCTTCTTAAACTGTGTGAAAAAAGGTTTATAATAGGAAGGAAGTCCCAGCAGCCAGTTCTCCAAGTCAAGCAGTTGGCAGGTTTCCCCAGTTAATACAATATTTCCTGTGTGCAACTGGCCTATTAAAAAAATGAAGCAAATTAGCAAAGCAGTGAAAAAATTAACAGCAAAATAATTACTTTTCTGAGTAAAGATGAAGAATTATAAATTAGAAGTTTTTTTTTTTTTTTTAGGATTTATATTTGGTTCATTCATTCAGTTCCTACGATAATCATTATGACTTTTTTTTTTCAAAACATGTTAAGAACTGCAAGACAGAAAAATAATAGTTTTCATAATATCACCTTTTCATAAATTTCTGAAAATTAAGCAAGTTTTACCATGTGTATCACTATATATATATATATATATATAATGTGTGTGGAAAAATTCAGATATAACTGTTAAAAGACAAAAGGTAAGTTTTACTGATGTGTTGCATCTTTTGATGGACTTTATCAAGGCAAATATAAGGATTTTATTTAGCAACAAGTATTTATAAATATATGTAAAAATATTGTTAGGTTTTCAAGATTTTAAAATTTAAAAACACTCAAATATTCTTCAGGTTAACTGTGAAAGTCAAGGTAAACTATGGAAAATGCTAAGTGATGTAACTAAATGCTTAATAAACTAATAAATGAAAGTGATTAATGTAATGTAATTCTTAATGTAATTATTATCATTTTTTTTTTAGTTTGAGAAATTAATTTATTTTAAGTAATAGGTTTTGTTATAAGTTCTCTTTCAGTTTTTTAATATTTTCATAGTCATGTATTTTGGCTTGGGAAAAGAGTATACATTTTAGAAAAGAAGATATTTGAAAAAATCTTGGGAGAAGATTTAAATTTTGGCAGGATTTGATAGTAGCACTCAACTTGTTGGTTATTTTCTCTTAATAAGTGTGGCATTTTTTGCCAAAATGTAAATCTGTGCCCCAGATTTTTTTTGTCTTTATTCATATGAATAAATATTTGAATTCAAGAACAACAAAAGAACTGAATACAGGCTTTGAATTCAATGTTGTTCTTTTCCTAAAGAGCCCAGTTTGAGTTACTATTTCATCCATAGCTGTGGGAGAGAAAAGATGGATTCATACCTTTTTCATGGGTATTTGCATGTAAGTGAATGTAATGAACTTCACTGGAATTTAAATTTGGCTATTCAATTTCTCATTTCAAGCTGCTCATCAATTGCACCATGTACACATCCATTGCAAATTGCAAAGATATGCCATGGAATTTCTGTTGATCATATTCATAACTTAATAATGCATTACTTACATTATTTAAACTATTCTGACTGCTATCCTCATCTACATTGTCACATTCACAACGTTTCGGTCGTAGTACGCTTCGACCTTCTTCAGATAATTGGAATTTCAAACCGAACACTATTTCATCCACCAGAGTAGACTGTTTTATTTCCACATGCCATGCCTCTTCCGGATGTCTCAGTATTTCCCTGGAACTAGAACAATCTACCCCAGTAGATGAAATAAAGGATTCAGTTTGAAATTTCAATCACCTGAAAAACGTCTGAAATGTTGTGAATATGGCAATGAAGATAACAGTCTGAATAGTGTAAATAATGTAAGTAATCATAATACCTTATCTCAGAGATATAGATAAATACTTAATAATACAGTTGAGATTTATGTTACAAACTGGAGTTGGTATATGTTAAGGCATGAAAATACATATTTAATTGTTGGCTTCATGATGCTAATTTTTTTTTTTTGTTGTTGCAAATATACGTCCAATTTATTTTTACCTGGTAATATAAAGTAATAAGTTTCTATAAAATTTTCTTTTGTAAACAGCTGGTAGGGTAAAGGCCATGCTTAGATTTTAAGGGAAACTAATGTAGGATCTTGAAGAACACAATAATCCAAAAGCTATACTTACCATAAGGTAATCCTTTGTCATAGAGAAATTTGAGAACTTCTAGTATTTGTCTGCCATATCTTTGTATTTCTTGTAGTTTTAAAGGGCTACATACTTTTGGATTACAATATTTTTTTAGAAAATGGCCAGATTTTGGCTTACACTGACAAATTTGGTCTCTTAATGTACCTTCTTCATAAAATTTCCTTATCACCATTCCTCCATTTTCATTTGCAATAGAAAATTCTATGGGAGCTATAAAAGGGTGCTAAAAAGACAAAATAGATTGAATTTACACAGTAATCAAAAGAGAAGAAGTTAAACAAGCAAATGAAAAAAAATAATTTTAAAATCACTTATTCATGTCATGTGGTTTCAACATATTTAAGCAGCATCTCTTCCCAATATTACTTGGCTTTGCATATCCACTATAAATCAGTTACTGAAAATTACATTCCCTTTGATATGGTACTGGTATTTTTCACCATTACACTATTACTTGAAAGCAAATGATTACATATTAAAACATACTCTTAGTTTCACTTAAAATCAGAATTTTCAGGAACATATCTGTTACCCCATTAAATGAGGTAGAACAGTAACAAGTAAGTTACTTGTTTGGGGATAAAACTTTGAAGGGGTGATTATAATGGATATGTTTGCAAAACTTTAACTAACAAACTATATTAGATTTAATTCCCTTCTTGAAACTCAATTAGGTTGAGATGGTCACAAATACATTAATTACTAATAAATTAGTTGCAAATATCATATGAAAAAATCCTTTTAACAATAAATTTAATTCATAAAAGACAAATGAATTACTTTTACTTCACAATGAAAAAATAGGTGCATCAGACTGTTCACTATAAACAAACCCTCATAAATAAATTTAAAAATTGCAGCAAATAAAATTCATTTAATTTACAATATTCAAAATTTCAAATTTAGAATCAAAATATATTTTTGCACTTACATAAATAACATGAAACTCTTATAAATTTTAAAAAGCAAAACTTTTACAAATCACTGCATTTGACAATATGTCCTACAAACTATTGGCAAGTTATTTCTCTATAGGGGAGTTATTAGTATAGTCTATTGACCATTAAGAAGAAGAACTCAACTTGCCTGCACTGAAGAAAGCAGCTTTATCACAGCAAGAAGTTCTTTTGAAGGTAGAAATTTACAGGGTCCATAATCACTCTGGAAACAAAAAGGATTAAACAGATTAACATTCATTTTAATAGATATGTAAAAAGGAATTAAATGAAATAAAGTAAAATGTTTTTTCATTCCTTAGACTTTATCCATTAGAAGTAACTTGAAAAGATTTACTGTATGGATTTTGTAGGGTATGATGGTTGACAACTGTGAAAGATACAAAGAAAAAATATATAAAAACACTTCTGGGACACAAGAGCTTGCAAAAAACATACAGCAACAATTAATTTTGTAGATAAAACAAAAACATATTTAATGTAATTAATATGACTCCAGTAAAAGTAATGGATTTTAATTTTAGCTGTATGGTACTAATACATAATTCATTAAGTTGATTCCTAATGTATTTAATCAGATATAAACCATTACATACCACATTTTCCTTTTTTTGCAAATATCAAAAGTTACTGTTGTAACTTCTTAAACTATAGAGAAGCTATTTAAGTGTAATGAAAAACAAATGTGATAGGAGCTTTACTTGAAGATTTATTCAACTATAACAACTCTGGCAATAAACAGGGTGGAGCTTATTCCTTTTATAACTGGTCCAAAGGGAGACAACTATAGTTGACTTCTGCCATATTCTTCCCCGCTCAGTTTTGTTCAGTCATAAGTGACGTATTTGTTCAAACAACTGAATTTTTTGCAAATTCGTCTGGAATGTTGCGGTTGTCCCTGGTCAGTGGCTTCGGATGCTGCAGGGTATGTTGCCCTGATAGCCTAGTTCTAATTCTTTTCAGTCTCCTACTCAAAGTAGGATGCTCAGAATCCAAATGTAAGGGTTTGTGTTGAGTGTTCTCACACTTGTGGAGTTGATTTGGTGTTGGTAGCATTCTGGTGATACCCAAGTGACAGTTTTTTTGTTTTTTTTATACAGATTCAGGAAATCTTCAGTGACTTTTATTGATCCACACACTCTTGAAAGGGTGTCAGCCACTACATCTTCCATGTCAAGACAATAGACAACATTAAATGAAAAGCAGGACAGCTCAAGTCTCCATCTGGCTACATTTTCATTTTTTATCCAGCTAGTCAAACTAGGGTTGTACATGAATGAAACAATTGGTCAGCTGCCTGAAAAGGCAGCTGATCAAGTAATGTCATCATTTCTTTAAGACCTCCATAGTTGCATAAGCCTTTTTCATTTTTGCTGAATGCTGTTGTTCCGACTGCAAAAGTATTCTAGCGAAGAACACTATGGATTGTCTCAGTGAGGTTGCAGTGGCACAGACAGAGGCATCTGCGTCTACCACTAGGGGAATAAAGGGATCTACAGCTGTCATAGCAGAAGTAGCAAGATCCCTTTTATGCCCACAAGGGCTTTGACGGCAGGAGAAGGTAGAGGAAAACTGCTAATTTGTATTTTTTCTGAGAATGAGGCTAAACATGGGGAATAATATGCGAACATGCCCATGGCTCGCCATGAAAGCGGATATAGTATTATGGATCAGTAATCCATAATCAGTGGTGGCTTCTGTTGTTCAGGGTTCAGTACCATAGTTACTTAGCTTGCAACGTATCCTAGTAGGTTAATTGTGTTTAATCTGTATGAACACTTTTGCTTAAAGTAAGGTTGTATTTTTCAACAGCGGCCAAGAACTGCTTGAGGCTGCGACTGATCAGTTTGATCATAGCCACACACCGTTGTTATCAATGTAGGCATAAGTGTCTTGTAATCTTTTGCTGGTTATTATTATATGAATGACACTTTAGAAGTTGGCCACCCTGTTTGTAATGCCAAATGGAATCCATAAAAATTGGTGCAGTTGTCCACAAGTTTCAAAAAACGTGTATGGCTTGTCTTTTGGACTGACTGGTGCTTCTGAGGTCCAGGGTGCTAAAAAATTTGTATTTGGTGATCTCACCAACAATTTTGTCAATATGAAGTAGTGGATAGGCATCCAAATGAGTAAATTGGTTGATAGTTTGCAAGTAGTCTATAACAATTTACTTTTTTTTATTTTCAGAGGATATTATTAAATTTTGAACCTTTCACAGGGATTTACTTTCTTCTATTATTCCCTCTCTTAGCATTCTGGTTATTTCAGTTTGAATAAATTTTTTGTCTTTGTAAGAATATCACCTAGATTTGATGGCTACTGGTTAGTGGCCTATAGTCAGATTATCAAAGAGAGAGGGATATTGTATGTCTATAGTGGCCAGGCCACAGATATTTAGCACCAGTTTAGGGCCTCCAAAAGGGATTTTAACATTGGAGTACTGCTGAGGAAGTCCTAACCTAGTATAGCATCACAGAATAAGTCATGCATTACTAGGAATTTAATATTGTCATAACTATTGTTTTATTTGTAGTCTGACCAAGCAATAACCCATAATTTGAGAAGATAGTGAGGTGTTTGCCATAGCTAACTATAACAACGCATAATTTTCCAATGATTTACTTTGGCAATGCCTGCATTAATGAAACTTTGTGAGCTTACAGTATCAAGTAAAGCTTTAATGGCTACTCAGTTAATTTTAATTTTTAAGATGGTCTTTGAAAGGAATTTAGAAGACATTTAGGATACTATATTGGTTGTTAGGGTCACCCGTGTTGCTGAACAGGCGAGAAGAAACAGACTGGCAAATTTTAGAAAAATGCCCCTTTTTTCCCACACTTATGGCATATCAACTCTTTTGCAGGACAGGATGAACAGAGTTGAGGCAACAGTAATAGGGTTTATGAAAGAGTCAGAAGTGTGTGCTGGAACTGTGTGAACATGAGTGGGGGAGGGGCAGAAACAAGTGTATTTGAAGCAAGAGAAGAAGTATTCTGGACAGAGGAAAAATTACAAACCAGAGAGAGTTCCAAGGTAGCACTGACAATTCCAGATGTGTAGGTAAGAGGCAGACTGTTTCTGTGACATGTCCAATAACAGGGCCTGGACATAAGCTGTTGCCAGGTCTAAAATTTTTCGAGCAATTTTTGTCTTATTTGTTAATAAAGGTATCCCTTATGAATTTTTCCCGAGCTTGGTCTGCTGTCAATGTTTTGAACTTGCAGACTTGACTTAGTGTCTTTAATGCCTGTAAGTAGTGATCCAAGTTTTCCTATGGCTGTTGCCTTCTAGCTGAGAGAAGGTGGTGAGTAAAAATGGCATATTTCCTTTTGACAAACATTCCTTCTAGAATGCCAACAGCAATCTCGTAATCCCCACAGGAAGAAATATTGGTATAAGCCAGAGTGAAGATATGATGGAATAATAGGGTTAGTTTTTCTGTTGCAGATGTTCTTGTGAGTAATGCTGCAATAAAGCTGTCAAATAACGTTTACCAGTAGTTCCACTTATCAGTAGTGTCTTGGTCAGATGTATCAGTATCCAAGTGCGATGTTTTCAGATACTTGTCCATAGTTTGTAATTGAATAAATTGTAAGGAAAAACAAATGCGGTAGAAACTTTACTTGAAGTTTTATTCAACTATAACTCAACTTTGGCAACAAACTGGGTGGAGCTTATTCCTTTTCTAACTGGTCCAGGGGAAGCAACTATGGTTGATTTCCACCACACAAAGGTAATTTAGAACTTTTATGAAAGAGGGATTGACTTTGTACAAAATCTGTATCCCAAGAGTCTTCATTTGTTTCTTTGCTACTTGTCTATTGTTTTATGATTTTTAAAAATTGTCTCTCAATCATCACTAATAATTCTTGAATTTTAAATATTTTTTTTTAGTAAATAAATCTCATCTTTTTTTTTTTTAATAAATAAATCTCATTCAATAGTAAGAAGCATATTATTAAAAACAGACATACCCATGAAAGTATTTGCCTA